GACATTAGTGATGACATATATAGCATGTACTGTAGTGGAGGGCACCATTGATCCTTAAATGTAGGGAAAATAGGAAATACTAGAATAGGAAAACTCAAGGAAAATAAATTTAAGGAAAATAGGAAATAATAGAAAAATATAGGGAATTAGAGCTTTGGTATTAGTGGCAGACCCTTTGTGCCTTGTCACTTGATGTTAATGAGGGGCTGTAACATTTTAAAAACTATTTTAAGGAAAATAGGAAGTAATAGAAACATATAGGAAGTTAGAGTCAATCTTAGTGGTACGCCATGTCTTATCTGGGCACTTGATGTTAATGGAGGGTTCTAGCATTTCAGGGTAACTCCAGGCAGAGTTGATGAAACCTCTGCACTATTTTGGAGTGAGGAAGCCTCCAACACTGCCACTGCGCTGCCCCCCCCCCCCCCGGGCTGTGCTGGTCTACCCATCCATTATTGGTCCAATCATGGCACCTCTGTTCCTACTCTATATTTTGGCTACGGGAAATCTATAGCAAACAACCTATGCTCTCCTTTGGGGTGGTAGAGTGTGTTGGGGAGAGGTGATTCCAATCAATCATGATCATTCTCTCTAATCCCAGGGTGTCTCTGCAAAACCTCTCATGTACTTCACCCTTTCTCACATCATGGCTAGTGAATGAGGTCCAGTCATATGTCCAGAGTGGTCAAGAGATACAGAGAATAGAAGGTTGAAGGAACTGGGGATTTTTATTGAGTTTTTTTTTTTTGGCTTGGCAGTGGGGTTAAGTGTCTTGCCCAGGGTCACACAGCTAAGTAACTGTCAAGTGTCTGAGGCTGGATTTGAACTTGGGTCCTCCTGACTCCAGGGCCGGTGTTCTATCCACTGTGCTACCTAGCTGCCCTGAACTGGAGATTTTTAGCTGGTGACAGAATAGACTTGGGCAAGAAGGCTGTCTTCAGTTATGCGAAGGTTCTTCTTTGGACATGCTCTGCTTGGCCTAGGAGGACAGACCTAGGAGCAGAGGGTGGGAGTTGGAGAGAGACAGATTTAATCATGATGTTAGGAAGGGAATTAGAGCTATCCAAAAGTGGAAGGTGGATTCACCCTCACTTGAGGTCTTCAGGTGAAGGCCGAATGACCTTGTATTGGGGGTACTGGAGAGACGATTTGTCATGAGGCACAGGCTATGACATCTGAGACCCCTTCCAACTCTGGGAATTCTCAAGGTGGTCCCTTGACCCAGCTTATCCCCTCATGCTTAGCTTAAAGATGCCAGTGTGCTGACCAGTCCGCAGTTTTTAAAATGGGTCTTCCCCAATAGAGTGTTATCTTGGAACTTTAAATATATGCATATATACTACATTAAACTGCTTTAGCTGATGTTTTACTTTAGTTAATGTTTTAATTTGGAACTTGCTCCCTAAAGGGATTTTTTTTGTGAAAGGTATGCTTAACAAAACATCCACATATATATGTAAATGGTAAGGGAATACAATGGGGAGAATGCAATTTTGCCCCATCGGCATATGAGTGATTTAGAGAACTAGGGCTCCCAGAGTAAATATTTTCTGTTCCCAGTACTGTGAATATGAATGTCCTCTGTTAAACCCTCTGTGAAACCCATCTGTCCATTAGGCGGTTTCCTTTTAATTAATGATATTTAGGAACTAATTGTTCAGGAATGTTGTTGTTCAAGTTGTGTTTAGTCATGTCTGAGCCTTCATTACCCCATTTGGGGTTTTCTTGGCAGAGATATTGAAATGATTTGCCATTGCCTTCTCCAGCTCATTTTACAGATGAGGAAACTGAGGCAGACAGGGTTTACTAACTTGCCCAGAGTTAGGTAATATAGTAGACTCAGCTTTCTTTTTATTTTTGTTTGTTTTTTTAATTGGGCAGTGGGGGTTAAGTGACTTGCCCAGGGGCACACTGCTAGTTAAGTGTTATGTGTCTGAGGCTGGATTTGAACTCAGGTCCTACTGAATCCAGGGTGGGTGCTCTATCCACTGTGCCACCAAGCTGCCCCCTCGGCTTTCTTTTTATACCCACTCTGGGATTGTGAAGAAAGTGAGCTTCTATTTTTGGGGCAAACGGTTTCTGTAATGTTGCCTTTATTGTCGGTTGTCTGTGTTAGACTGTAAGCTTTGTGAGAGATGAGAGTTAAATATTTAGATTGCTCAGTAGCACAGTTGATAAAGTGTAGGGCGTGGAACCCGGGAGATTCACTCTTTGTGAGTTCAAATCTGGCCAGAGACACTTACTAGCTGTGTGAACCAGGGCAAGTCACTTATCGCTCTTTGCCTCAGTTCCTCATCTGTAAAATGAGCTGGAGAAGGAAATGGCAAATCACTCCAGTATCTTTGCTAAGAAAAAAACCCTAAAATGGAGTCATAAGGAGTTGGACATGAATTAAATGACTAAACAACAAAAACCACCCTGATTATGAGATACTCTTTTAGGGGCAGTCAGTAAGACTCGTCTTCGTCAGTTCAAATCTGGTCTTAGACACTTCCTAGCTGTGTGACTCAGGGCAAATCATTTAACCCTGTCTGCCTCAGTTTCTTCATCTGTAAAATGAGCTGGAAAGGAAATGGCAAACCACTCCAGTATCCTTGCCAAGAAAACTGCCCAAAATGGTATCACAAGGCGTCGAAATGATTGAACAAAGAACATACAGCATAATGCTATATACAGTACATTCAGTTTCTTACTGTAATAAGCTAATGTTTAGTGATGGCTTACATAAGCCCTTAGGAAATTTTATTGTTCTGGTCATTCTTCAGTTCCATGTATTTGTCTCCCATTTTATTGATTTTTGCAGTTTCATATCTTTTGCAGCAGTGGGAAGCTCAGGGAGTATTATAATGGAACAACATTGATATTACAATGAAAGTGTCAGCTTCTGTCCAAATTGGTCTCTGTCTCAGATTCTGTCTCTTTCTCTTTCTCTCTGTTTAAAGGAATGGTATGTATCAAATCCTTCTCCAGGAACTTCCTAATCATTCACTGATGAACCTTTGTTGTAGTCAGTTAAAGAAAAAACCAGTGTGATACAGGGGAAAATGCAGTCAGGGAACAAACACTTGGGTTTAAATAAAACACACCCTTTCTCAGCAGTGAGATCAAGAGCAAGTCACCTGCCTTCTCTGAGATACCTCATCTTTAAAACAAGAGATAATGATACCTGCAGCGTTTACTACTCCACAGGCTCGTTGAGAAAATCAAATGATGAAAAGTATTTATAGGGCTTTTGCAAACCATAAAATGCTGTATAACTGTCAGCTATTAAAGGAGGAAAAAACCAGTGTTATTGGGTGATTTGCCTAGCATTATAGAGCTGGTGTTGAAACTCTGGCTGTCTGTGAAATCAACTAGTCTGATTCTTTTAAATTTTGACTGAGTTAATAATAATTATAATTATCATTATTATAATAATATATCTTCTCCTCTCCCCTGATTCTTCTAGTCTTTCCCCCTCCCTTTACTGGCAAGTTGGATTCCCGGAGGGCAGAGTATTACTCTTCTCTTCTAGGTTCTAGGGATAACTGTGAAGGATTGGAGGCTTCCAGTAATGATGCTCAGGAGTCCCCATCAAATATGCCACTCTGTATCGATCAGCCATTTGACATCAAATAGCTTTTGTAAGGTGATATTTACTGAGATGGCATAGCAAGAATTATAGTTACAAAATAATCCAGTAAACTGAGAAGCACACACTCCCCTGAGAGACCCTGGTCTAATTTAAAGTACAAACTTGTATGTGGGACTGAGGAGTGCCTCTCAACTCCTGACTTTGGAAGGCCTTTTCTCCCTTTGAGGAGTTCCCCACTGGTTGTGGTTGATGAACTAGTTGTTCCCTGAGCCAGGCTGCCTTCTTAAAGGGCCTGGTGTTTTGACAGATGGGCCACGCCACTGCTGGGCTGAGCAGGGTTGGTCAGTGAATATGCTGGGTCCCATAATGGACTTGGTTGCTCCTGCTGCTATTAACTCTAGTTATCAGTGGGACTCTGATAGCTCTTTCCAGCTCACGGATCACATAGGTACTTTCATCTCAGGATGCTCATTCACAGATAAGAGTAAGCATAAAAGAGTCAAGAGGCACCATCGACCAGGTAGAGGGGGACGGAGATGGTTAATCAGATAGTAAACATTTATTAAACTCAATGTGCTAAGTGCAGGGGATACCAAGAGAGGCAAAAGATGGTCTCTGCTGTGTAAGAGCTCACAATCTAAATGGGGAGACACGATACAGACAACTATAAAAGTGTCGAGGGAGGGGTATATGGAGCTTTTTGTGACAGGGTTCAGTTCTGGCCCCAGTCCCATTTGAGTTATCATTCCTTCTGACTCTTCAGCCAACCAGAAAACGCTTCTTCACCAGACAGCACCAGCTGTAAGTCAGCCATGTGTTATACTGAAACTAGCCAGACGATATTTCTCATGCACTTTAATACCAACCAGGGAGGGCAGACCCAAGCCCTCATTGGTCAGCCCCTCCATTCCAACAATAGTAGCTAACATTTCTGTATTGCTTTAAGGTTTGCAAAGTTCTTAAGGTATATTGTCTCATTTGATCCTGACAACAACCCTTTGCGGTAGATGACACCATTATCCACATTTTACAAGGTGACTTGTCTGGGGTCATGCTTCTAATAAGTAGCCTAGGCAAGACTGAAACTCTCATCTTCCTGACTCCAAGCCCAGCACTCTATCTGCTACACTGACTATAATGTGAGCAGTGTGAATCACCTCTTGGTAAGATGGCGGCAGTCTATCCTAAGAGCTGGATGAAATTATGAGTTTGATCATGTTCTGTTCTGGTTTAATGAAATGACCCCAGGATTTCTCATGCTTAGGGAGTCTTCATTAGTCAGAGTACTTTAAATTTTAATAATAATAATAAAAATGCAATAGGACAAGATTTCCTCTTCTGGAGAAATAGGAAATATGTCAACTTGATGAACATGTCCTAAATACGTAACTCTGTTGTCCTGAATGTTGATTTTTTTTTTTTAAAGGAAACTCTTTCTGCAGAATGAAATAGGGAGCAGAAGATAGTTTTCCTTGAATGGAGAGCAGTGTGTCTTTGGTTTCCAACATGCAAGAGACTTCACATTTGTCATTGGAGAAATGTAACAGTCCAGCTAATGGTAACAATGAATATGATTCAGGTGAGTTGATTTATCCAGGTTCATTTTACTATTTGACTTACAAAATCATTATGTTTTTTTCCCTCAGAATTGGAGGAAGATAATTCCAGTTTTATATAATTAAATTGAGCAATCTTTTTCAAATTCATATATTGCCCATTTTGGATGGTTTGGTTTCATGTTTTTAAAAGTATGCCTTTAGAGTTTTGCAAGCTGACATTTAAAATTACCTTCATTCCCAAATCTGAGAACATCTAACATGAAAAGTAATTAATAATTTATAAGAAAGTTAAAAGTTGCAAAATTTGCAATGAATCCTCTTTCCTTGCTTTTCTTCCCCTCCACCCCCACCCCTCCTCTCACCATATAATCTAAGAGGAAAAGTCTTCATTTGAATCCTAACATTTTTCATATTAATAATAAATGATATGGAGCTGAGAGAATAGTTTCAGGAAGGCTAAAGTCTAGAATGAACTGAGGTTCCAGGAAGAAGCTAGGGATGACAAAAGGATCTATCTTTAAAGGGTAGGTTTAGAGCAAATAGAATTTCGGGAGAGCTGGGTCCACTGTTGAGAGTGGGTTGGTATAATGATAGACAGCAGAGAGAAAGCAGACAATTACCTAATTTCTGTTTTGGTTCTGTCTTCACTATCTAGGGGAAGATTATTTAGATGGGAAATTTAAGCCCAGGGTAGATGATGAGATAGTAATAGAACACCTGACTATTTGTGAGTAAAAGTTTGTTGGTGCAGACAAATTATATCTCAGAATACCGAATGAACTTGGAGATCAGCCCACTGAATTGGTGCCACTATTCTCCATGTAATTGTGGAGAATGAATGAGGGTCCAGAAGACTGGAAACAAGCATATATTGTCCTGATTTTTAAAAAGGTGGGTTCTAGATGGCAAAGTGATAAATGGAATTGAAGTCATAGGACCTTGATTTGAATTCTGGCTTTGTCACCTCCCTGGAGCTCAGTTTTCTCTTTTGTATAATGAGGCAATTGCATTGCCAATAATTGAACTACATGACCCTCAAAGTCATTTCCAGTTCCACTATGAAAATTATAGATGGTAATCTCGACATTAATCCCTAGAAAAATTTTGGAATAGTTTGTTAAAAATGAATGGTTCATAGACACTTAAGGATCCCTAGGGTCCAGCCTAGATTTGTTCACCAACAACAAGTAGTTCATACTAACTTCATTCCTTTTTTTGATGAGGTCTTTAGACTGCTGAATTAGGGAAATGCTCTGAGAAGGTTGTATGTGGATTTCAACAAGACATTTGACAAGGTTCTTTCATGAAATCCTTATGGACAAGATGAAGAGACTGTGTGAATGGTATATAGCCCAGGAAATGAGGTTTCTAAATGAGAGTTGATTAAATGGATCAATGTCAACTTACAGGGAAGTCTAATGATATGTCTCAGGGCTTTGTCTTGGACAGATCTTGCTGAACACATTTGTCAGTGACATAGATAAAGACATAGGATTATCAAATTTTCACTGAACATAAAGATGAGAGGGGTAGCTAATGTGTCGGGTGAGAAAGTCAGAATTCAGAAGAACTGTGGCTGGATGAAATAAAGGCCTGAAACACCACCTGGAGAAGGGACATTTGAAACTGGCTAATAATTTGTTAAATTTTCAGTGTGACAATTTGCACCTTGGGAATCTGTAATGGCTACAAATTGGGACATGTTTTGTTTTGTTGATTGTCTAGATACTTAAGAAAGTGATGGATAAAATGTTAATTATTAAGGCTGATGAAACTTAGGGTAGGTAATTTTTTTGGGGGGGAAAGAGCTGATTGTTAAACATTTACCAGCATACCCTTGCTGTGGAGCTGTAGAAATGAGGGGAAAAAAAGTGGAGACAAATTCCTCTCCCAGTGGAAATTTCTAGAAGAATTCCTTTTTGACCTAATCTTTAGGAATGATACAATCAGGCCGAATAACTCATTAGTGGTATTTAACATCTCTTAGTTCCTTAGTTCTAGGGCTACAACTTATAGGAGGCCTTTCTTGAACTCCTCTCCCATTAACCTTCCCACTCTTGTACAGTGAATAAAGGGCTGAGCCCTGAGTTCTAAGCCAGCCTCAGACACTTAACTAGTTGTGTGACCCTGGGCAAGTCACTTAACCTCTGTTTGCCTCAATTCCCTCATCTGAAATGTGAATAATAATAGTATCTGCCTGTTAGTTGTTATGGGGCAGGTAGGTGGCACAGTGGATATAGAATGGCAGGCCTGGAGGTAGGAAGATTCATCTTTGTGAGTTCAAATCTGGTCTCCAATAGTGACTAGGTGTATGACCCTGGGCAAATCATTTGCCCCTGTTTGCCTCAGTTTCCTCATCTGCAAAATAAGCTGGAGAAGGAAATAACAAATCAGTATCTTTCCTGAGAAAACCCCAAATGGGGTCACAAAGAATTGGACACGATTAAAAAAAAATGAATGATTACTTGTTGTGAGGATCAAATGAGATAATAATTGTAAAGTGCTTAGCACAGTGCCTGGCGGTTAGTAAACATTCTCTACCTGTTATCATTATTATTAACATTGTGATTATTATCATCCCCCAGTGAATGAGGGGTCCTTAAAGGCAGGTAGTTTCCATTTTGGCATTTCTCTCGAATGCCATGCATGCAGTAGGCATTAAATAAGTTTGCCAGATTGAGCTGAATTACTGTATTTTTCTTTCTAGTATATTTTAAGTTTTTCATAAGTCTTTTTTTTTTCCTGCGCTTACTGAGCGTGGTGGTTTTTCAACTCTTAAAGCTTCTGACTTTAACCATATCTTGCTTAGCATATCATCCCCAAGCCATCTGCCTTCTGTTGTGGCTGGGCCCCTTTCCACGAGAAGCTTTCTAAAGCCTTTAGAAGCCAACTAAGCACTGGCTTTTCACTTTTATGAAACCTTAACTGTTTCCTTCTGCTAAAGTGCTTTCTTCTATTCATTAATGACCCTATCATGTTGAGAAATATTATACCTCTTCTACTTGAGGTCAGCCTCCTGTTCAAGGAAAGTCTGCTCTGAGGTTTATGGATCCAGGTACACCATGGTTCTGTAGGCAGCTTTTTTCCCCCCTCCTCTGGTTATGCTTGTTGGATTGCTGAAAGCATGGATATAATATAATATGATATGATATGATATGACACGATATGATATAGGTTTTAAGGTTTGTAAATTGCTTTACATGTTATCTTATTCGATCCTCAAGAAAACCCCAGGAGGTAGGGGCTATTATCATTCCCATTTTACAGAGAAGGAGAGTGGTTAAGTGACTTGCCTAGGGGATCACAGGAAATAAAATAGGAGTCGAACTCGGGTCTTCCTGACTCCCAAGTGCAGTGCTCTGTGTGTTGTGCCACCATGTCCTCACAATTCATCCTGTATCTAATTTTCTAAGGTTGTGGATTCTTGATGCTTTCTTATACTCATGTTATTTTGTCTTCACAGTTGCATCAGGGAAGCCCTTAGTGGTTCTCCCAACAAAAAAGAGACTTTGTGAAAGTAAAAATGGGTGTTAGAGTAAGGCACTGGGAGTAGAAACAAAGCCAGTCACTTTGTAGATCGGCAGAGTGAGATGCTGCCTTGGACACGCAAAGGCATGGGTGAATCCTAATGTGATTTCAACCTTTGGTAGATATATTCAAATACACTAATACAGTAAGCATTAAAGTTCGACATTTGTTAATAAAATCAACCCCTTTCAATTCTGAAGGCAGCTTTTGAAAGCTTGCTCAGGATTAACTGGGAGTCTCTGATATATTGAGTGCTGTGCAGATGTATGCTGTATACAGAGCCTGTCTGGTGGTCTATCCCTACCATGCATCCAGGTACAGCTATTTTAAGCAAACATCTAGCCAGGTTTAAATGACCCCAAACCTCTGATACTTTTTCTTTGTAACTCGGGAGTCCAAACAACTGTGTCTGTTGTGACATGGGGCATAGCAAGCTCTTTTTCTTTCTTATCACATGACTTATTTCCTTCAATCCTGAAGAGAATGTAGTCCTTTTCAGACAAAATCTTGGGATGAAGGAAGGGAAAAGGTAATCTGCCCTGTTCCTGGTATGTTTCTCCCGTGTCTATATCTCTCTGCCTGTTGCTGTTCAGGAAACTGCTGTGATTCCTGACAGTGGTGGTTTTTCTGAAGCAGAACTTCAGGTTAAAACAATGGACTTGGAGCCTCATTAACAATCTCTTTCCTTCTCCTGTCCTGGTCTCTTTTCCTTAAGAAAGCTCAAATAATAGTGAGGATCAATAACTGACACCCAAGTCCTGTAAATGAAATAGGCACAACATAAAATTACTCCTCATCCTGTGAACACAGGCGACGTGCCTGGAATGAGCACAAATAGATGAGGTAGCCTAGGAACTGAAGACCTCTCCAGCAGACAAAATTGACAGCATTATCACAAGAAGCACAAAGAAGGAAATATACTAAAATACAATTTCTGGGAATTCTCAGCTCCTTCAATTTCTGTGTGATAAAAGCAAGCAAAACAATATTCTGACACAGTGATAAATGGATTCTTTGACATTATTTTTACAGACACAATAAATGTAATTTCCTGATGAAGTCTGTAGATAAAATGTTGATGTAAATTCAGACTGGGGGAGTGTCAGGATGAATAGGGGGCCTGTCTTTTTTTTTTTTTTTTCTTAAGTGATGGGAATATATCAACCATTGTATTCCTTGGATTTTTCTGTATGGGAAGGAAAAAATCAAGACTTATGGGAAAATTTACATCTTTTAATTGAACCCCTTACTCATTTTGGGATTCAATTTAATATGGTACTGAATTGATTCATTGCCTGTTTTGTGAAATGATTCAAGTAGGACTCAACAGTGGTCTTTCTTCCCCAGTCTGCCCTAATTTAATTTTATAACTTACAAAAGTGGCCTTTATTAGGATTTTCCCAGGAATCTCAGCCAGCTTCCTGAAACTGTGACAGGTGCCTCAAGGGCCATTGCATATAATTGTACCAGTTTGGAGATCCCTGCCCAACATGCTCATCAGAAAGAGAAGTCTCAGTTCTTTCCTCAAAGCCTTGGCTTTATCTGATTTATAGATATGTTCAAAGGTTATCTCCTCCCATGAGATGGCTAAATCTTTTTTGTACCGTACTAAAATGTTACCAACTCACACTCAGTAAGTTTTCAAAAAGAGGTAGAAAAAAAATAAAAGCAATGACATCATCCAGAAACTCTCCAGGTGAGAAGCCTTTTGCCTTACCTGATTTCAGATGCTTTTTTAATCTCCCAACATTTCATTTGATGCCACTCTGAAAGCTTTCCAGAGATCAGGGGCCGATCACTATTTCTTTCTCACTATTTACTGTTCTTTCTTTTTAAGGCTGCAGAGATTGAATTCTCATTCACAGCCTGAGGGCTGAAGTATAATTGAATAAAATAATATTAGTTAATATAAAAGAGCATAGACATATAAACATGTTCTTTCTTTTTCATACCCCTGCCCCCCAATTAGTTCCTCCTACTTCAATCAGGAGTATGTTGTAGTTTTAAAATTAAACTTGATGTGAGGCAAGGGTATAGATAGGCACTGGTCTTGGGAGTCCAGAAGACTTGGTTTCAAATCCCACCTGAGACACTTACTAGCTATATGACCCTGGGCAAGTCATTAAACTCTGTCTGCCTCATATTTCTCATGTGTATAATGGGGTGGTGGTGGTTTGGACTCCTCTAAGGTCCCTTTTGGTCTTAGATCTATGATCCTAAAAGTATCTTTATTTGACAGTGAAATCCATCCAAACTTTTTTTTTCCCTTTTGTGAAAACACATGTATCTCAAGTTCTTTTGGGAAGGTGAGAGTGGATTTCCTTTTTATATTAGTAATTTAATAATCTGGTCATGCAAATAGTTCTCTTTCTTCCAAATCAGGAGACTTCACAGTGATTACTATTGATTAAGGTCCCTGTTTTTCTTTAAAACTGAGGAGCTATGAGGAGCAGCTAGTTGGCACAGAGCTTTAGCCTTGGAGTCAGGAGGACCCAAGTTCAAATTCGGCCTCGGACACTTGACACTTATTAGCTGTGTGACCCTGAGCAAGTCACTTAACCCCGATTGCCTCACCAAAAAGCAAAACAAAACAAACAAACAAACAAAAACTGAGGAGCTGTGGGCTTTTCTTAATGTGGTTTTTGATGAATTTTCATTACATTAATAAGAAAGTTCTGTTGAATAGCTCCTTAGCCCAGTGTTTGCCATGTGGTAGGCACTTAAATGCTTATTGATTTAACTGGGGAAGTGACTATCAGAATTTCTTTGATAAAATGTTTGAGTTTAAGAAGTTTATAGATCAGCTACAAAAACTTGCTCTGAATTTATATTTTGTGCTCTTTATTTGTCATTTCTTATTTGGCGTTTCTCGATGATGTGTCTTTATAGAATTTACTGTAAGAAGTAGTATATTGAACACAAATTTTAAAATGTGAGGAAGACCACATTTGCATGTAGTCTTCTGGTCAGTTACTGTAACACATGGTCAACAGATCAAGACCTAATGTTAGAACAATAAAAAGGTAGATCAGTGGAACAGAGTAGACATACACTTTATAGCAGCAAATAAATATAATAACCTTGTATTCAACAAGTGTAAAGACTTAAGATTTTGGAATTAGAATTCATTATTTGGTAAAAAAAATGTTGGCAAAACTGAAAAGCAGTATGGCAGAAACTGGGCATGGACCAATATCTTACACCATTTACTAAGACAAGGTCAAAATATTGACCTACGTATAAAGGGAGCTATTACAAAGAAATCAGAATAACATGGAACATATTATATCAGACTTAACGTGAATAAACAAGAGATAGAGAGCAAAGTTGGGTGTAAAATGGATAATTTCAATTACATTACATTAAAAAGTTTTTGTGTAAATGAAACAAATGTTACCAAGATCAGAAGGAAAGCAGAAAATTGGGGAAAAAATTTATAGACAATTTGCAGAGGCTTTTTTGAAGGGATCATGAGATCTTGGATCCAGGGCTGAAAGGGACCCTCTTCAGGGGACATCTAGTCAGTCTCTTTATTTTGCAGGAGAGCCAAGAGAGGGTAAATGACTTTTTGCTCAAGGTCTTCTAGGAAGCATGTTAGTTAGAACCCTAGAACTGAAAGAGATGTCAGAGTCCATCTAATCCAACCCTCTTATTTTACAGATGAGGTCATTGAGGCCCCAGGAGATTGAGTGATTTATCTCCCGTCTCAAATAGGCAGTAAATGTCAGAGGCAGGATTTGAATCCGTCCTAGAGAATCAGTGCTCTTCTATTCTGCTTCACCCCGTAAGCCAGTTGAGAGTGATCTTGGTCACCTTTTGCTTATTCCCTTTGATTCACATTTGGGTATTTTTTCAAAGTGGTAGGTACAGGGAGGCTTAAATTCTCACTTCTGCTGTATCCATCTGTCCTATGAAAACAATAATATTCATTGAGCTTATCAAGCTGAATGACCACGAAGATGATTTCATAAAACATTTCATGTTTGTTGCAAAAAAAAATATTAAGTTGTTGGTGTTTAATCACATTTAAGCGCCCTACTATGTGCCAGTCACTGTGCTTAGGTATTGGGGATACAAAATTTTAAAAAAAGCCACCAACAACTCTGCCCCCTGCCCAAAAAAAAACCCAAAACAACAACCGATCCTTAACCCTCGGGGAATTTACATGCTAGCATAGGGAGACAACCCACACATGTAAGAAGATCCAAGAGAGCTGCAACCTGTAATAAATTGAGAAAATTCCTGGAAATGAAAGAATTCTAGATGTATGTCATAGGTAATTTCTTAATGAATTTTGTAGGTAGATTTTATAGTAAGTTTGTTAGCAGTGACAACATGAGATCAAAATTCTGTCAAGGATGAAAGATTATAATAGATGGTTTCAGGCTCAGCGCCATTTTGTATATTTGTGTTTCCTATTTTCATATTTTTGGATAGTTAACTCCCCCTCTTTAGACTGTTGGGTCTTTTGTTGGGACTTTTTTCTTGTGAGAATGGCATCATTGTATAGTATTAAAAACAGTGGAATGGGGGTATTGGAACCTTCAGATATGGTGCTGATCCTGCCACCAGTTAACCAGTGTAATTAATCTTCATTTAGTCCAATTCATTGTTTGTCTATGGTAGGCCTTCAATAAATATTCATTGAACAAAATGACTATAATCTCTGTTATAGTTTCCTTGTCCATAAAATGAAGATTTTTAATCACTCTAAGAAAGCTCATTCTATTTGCAATACTCTGCAAAGAACCCGATATACTACTGAGCACATAGTAGATTCAGTAAATATGTAAAGTAAGAGGAATGAATAAAAATGTCAGAGTGCTCCTGTGTGGAGAGAGAGACTTCTTATTGCTTCCTTGATTCCCGTGGTCATTCCTTTGAAGTCTGATGTAGCTACATTTGATAACTACAAACCAGTGCACTAAAGCTCAGCAAAGATGTCAGTGAAATACTGGAGAGCAACTTGTTTGTTTTTAGAAAGCTTGTTAAAACCTTGACTCTAATAGGACCTCCAAGTGGAATTTCTTCATGGCTTCATTTCCCCAGCAGTCGTCTTGATAACCAGCAAACCAAAACCACGTGCACAATCCAACAAAATCCCTTTAAGCCAGTGCATCAGTTTTTCTTGCATGAAAGATTTTTCTAGTCTGACCGAAATGCTCTTGCCTTTACTTATTTCACTATGGAATTAATATTTTTATGTTTTTCAGGGCATTTGATTTTGATTTAAATTTTGTCTCATTTTGTTTTTGAACAGATGAAGGTTCGAGCATGGAAGATCCTGACTTTAATTGGGGTGAATATTTGGAAGAAACAGGTGCAGTTGCTGCCCCTCATACATCATTCAAACATGTATGTAAAACAATCTTTCTTTTTCTTTTTCTTTTTTCTTCTTGCTTTGCATTTAGATGGTTAACGGCAAGTTTAGAAATAGATGCTAAACAATGACTAAGAAGCAAATAGACATTGAAAAGTAAAGTGTGGAAGGAAACTCAGCTGTTTGTTGTTTGTTTTGAGAAGTAGAACTGACAAGTAAATGTGAGGGATCTGGTTTTACCTTCAAAGGATCTATGATAGAGAATTCTCTTGTCCTTAAAAATAATATCATCTTTATTGCCATCAAGTAATACAGATTTAAACATACCAGTCTAGACTGTAAACTTGCTTAGTGTTTTTCTTTTCAGACATCATAGAACCTAAGTGCATAGTTTAGCAATGGTGGGCACTCACTCAGTGTATGTTGACCGACTGCAGATGGTGGTGTGCTGGGTGTTGTGCAAAACAAATTAGACAAATGTTGTCCCTGCTCTCGAGGGGGCCTGAGGCAGGTACCGTCAATATGGACAAACAGAAAGTCTGCAAACTGAATGAGTAGTTCCAGGGATGGTCTGTTAAAACAACCAATTAGACAAGGTATTTGTTCAGTGTTATTTTATACACCCTTACTTGTGTACAAAAGTGTTCTCTTATGTGAATATACAGAACTTTGGGTCAGGTAGAAGGCAATGACGGACTTTTGGTTTAAAAACGTTTTATCGATGCTTTTTGTTTTTTACATCACAGTTATTTCTGAATACTCCTCATCCCTTGTACAAAGAATAAGCATTATAAGTAAAATTCTGCAGCTGAGGGGCCCTAGCCTCCTTACTGAAAGGAGGAAGGTGGGTTTCCTGTTTCCTGGGACCAAGACCGATCATTACAATAGGGGAGTCTCATCATTGTTTTTAGCCGTCTTTTGGTTTCTGTTGTCACTTTATATATTGTTCTCTGAATTCTGCTCACTTGTCTGCATCGACTTACATAAATCCTCCCATACTTCTCCAATTTTCTAACATTTACCTTTTTATTATAGTTCTTAGATTATAAATTCTTTGAGGGCAGGGACCCTCTTTTGCCTTTTTGTGTCCCTAGTGCTAAGCACAGTGTCTGGCACTCAGTAGGTGCTTAATGAATGTTTATTGATTGGTTGATTATGGTACAATTGAATTAATTTGAATTAATCTGCCACAGTTTATTCTGCCATTCCCCACTTGTTGGGTACCTGCTTGACTTCTAGTTTTTGGCTCCTCCTAAAAATGCTGCTGTGCTATATACACATATGTGGGACCTTTTTTTATTTTTTTTTCTTACTGACCTCTTTGGGGATATAGCCAGTGTTGGGATATTTGGGTCAAAGGGTATGAACAGTTTAGTTACTTTTCTTGCAAAGTTCCAAATCGTTTTCCAGAGTAGTCGCATAGATGAATCTACGACTGCACCAGCAATGTGTTAGAGTGCCTGTCTCTTTGAAGTTCCCAAAACATTAACTGTTTTTGCCTTTTGTCATCTTTTGCCAGTTTGTGAGGGTGTGAGGCAAAACCTCAGAGTGGTTTTGATTTGCATTTGTCCTAATACTAATGTGAAGCCTTTAAAAATATGGTTCTTGATGGTTTACAGTTCCTTTGAAAACTGTTCATGTCCTTTGACTACTTGTTGGGAGACGTTTGAAACAAAGCCTGTAGATTGGATTTAAAGAATTTTGTGTGGTTCATTTTAAAGACCAGGGTTTATTGGTTCTTCCAACTAGTGGGGAAGGTAGTTGGGTGGTTTGGGGTTATAGAGTCACTTTTTCTTGAGTATGTAAGAAATCTCATGTGATGACTTTGAAATGGAAAGCTTTATTGTTTCTGGGTTACTCTTTCCTGTTGTCTTTTCCATTTCTGTATACTTGTGCCTATTCCTTCCATCAGGGTGTTTACTTTTAGTCTGAATATATTTGTTAATATTTTCCAACTTGGGATCCTAGTAGCTTTTAACTTTAAGCATAGTGGCTGAGGTTCAGCAGTCAAAGCAGGAGATTCTTGTGTGGTTAGAAGTACTTAGTTATAAGTCACTATGAATTTACATAAAATTTGTTGAATCTGAGCCAAAGAAAACAGTTCTTATCATTAATATTGTTTCTCCACAGAGTACAGATGACATATTCACCAGTGGACAAGCATCCAAAGAAAGCACAATCCTTTTCTTAATTGGATTATTACTAAAATAAGGAAATTGTATTTAGCAGCATTATAGAGGAAGTTAAGCTTTCAGGATATGTGCTTTTAACTACAAACTTATAACTGTAAACATTGCTTTGTAGGAAGTAGGAATTTGTCTGAGGAACACATTTTTTCTGGAGTGACTTTCCCACGTGTTCAGGGCAAAAATTGATCTGAGCATCGTGTACTGAAATGAGGATACTGCCTTATAATTTTCCTCCTTTAGTGCTTGTGCTGAATCACCCAGCTTAGCAGCTGTATTGGAAGTGGGATATTCCACTATGAAGGTGGATGCAAAGTTCCCTTTATTCAAACTTTTTACTTCCATCTTCTCTAATGTGAAGGATTCTTTTACCTCCACCTTTAAGGGATGGACCTTTAGTGCTTAAGAATGACTAGCCACTCGTGAAACCTCAGAGCGTTAAGAATTAGGCATGGCCTGACAGTGCTAAAAGAGCCAAGTCTCAGAACTGCTTTTCTTAGATGTTTTTCATACCTGCATGCAGAAGGAAAGAACCAAGCTTTTATTACACACCTACCATGTGCCATGCATGCACCTTACAGATATTTAATTTGATCCTCATTAGAACCCAGGGACAGATAGGTGCTACTATTATCCCCATTTTACAGATGAGGAAACTGAGGCAGAGGTTAAATGACTTGCCCAGGATCACACAGCTGCAGGCTTATAATTTTTCCACTGTGCCATCAGTATGTGGTATAATCAGTTATACTTCTATACTTCAGTGATCCATGATTTCATTGGTGTGGGTGTGGTGTTCACTGACACGAATCACAGCCTTCTCTGTGCTTTGATAGATAGTTTTGATTCATTGCTGTACTTGAGAAAATTAAATCAGCCCATAGTTCAGTTGGAAATGTCCTGGCATTACCTTTCAGGCCATGGATGTTTATATTTTACTAGATTGTGAGCTTCTTGAGGGCAGAGAACGTTGCTTCTTCCTTGCGTTCTCCATAGAACAAACATAGTGGTTTCCACATAGGTGTTCGTGCATTTGTTGGATGCTGATGTGTTTTGACGCATCATCGATGAGACATTGTGAAATTTAGACCAAGCTTGGTGTGGTTTTTTGGGTTAGCAAACATGTTGGTAGATTGCTGGGTTTAAAAACATCTGTCCGCTGAGGTTTTAGAATAATAATAGTAATTTTATGCATTATTTCGAACAACAGTTCCCTTACTTATTTGTTTAATCAGGGCACAATTGGGTTGGCCTTTGCATTATTATCGATCCATATTAGCTATGTAAATCACCTCTCCCTACGTTGCATGTTACAATCATTGCAATGTGTTTCTGATTCTGTAAGGTGGAAATCAGCCTTCAGAGCAGCTTCCAGCCTGGGATGAAGCTAGAAGTAGCTAACAAGAACAATCCAGACACATATTGGGTGGCTACCATCATAACCACATGTGGACAGCTCCTGCTGCTGCGTTACTGTGGCTACGGAGAGGATCGAAAGGCCGATTTCTGGTGTGATGTGATGACGGCTGATCTTCATCCAGTGGGATGGTGTACTCAGAACAACAAGGTGTTGATGCCACCAGATGGTAAGTTCTACTCATCTGTTGTCCATTTTGAAGACTTTCTTGCTTCTTTATCCTCATGTTTGTAGTTGCCACAGGAGTGGAAAGGAAATCATTGATATTGAATTGGAACCCTAAAAAACTGTTAATAGTAAAACACCTCTGTAATATTTTTTGGAGCTAGTCCTTTATTTTATTATCTGAAGAGTCGGGTTGGGTTTTTTTTGTCTTTTGTTTTGTTTTAACAGGGGCAGGGGGTAGACATAGAATCCATTTCTAGATGTCAGAGTCTGATCTGACAGCTTTGTCATCCATGGCCTTTAACAGATGAAGGTGTTTGAGCACAAAGCTCAATTTTTTTTTTTGATGGGGGTGAGGGGAAAGAAAGCTGAAAGGGAGATGCCAAAGAGAGTCTGGTTTTCTCTTTGGTGATTGATGACATCATTTTTTCTTTTACTTTGGGTAGCTGACATTTTGAACACTACCGTTGAGCATCTTAAATAGCCTTCCTCTAATAAACTTTAATCTACCTGGTTGTCAAGAGACGGTCGTAGTGTGAAACATTGAGAAAACCAAACAGATGTGGAAAAATTACATCATTCTCAAGGGAGCTTGTGAAATTTCTATCCCTAAGGTCACTTTAAATCTGGATTAGGCCAAATGCTACAAGTAGAATTTAGGAAATTGATCTCTTTTGCTGTTGAAGTGAGAAAGCTTCTGCCTCAGATCTCATGATTTTGGAGCCACATTCTACATCTGTGCTTTCTGTACAGCAGATTCAGCTGTATTGAAAATACTGGATGCAGACCCTGTACTTATTTAATGTAGGACTTACCTTCAAAATGTAAGAGTGTTTTAGATTAACCTGTTGGTGTTAAGAAGTTGTGATGTTTTAAAGTTAAATGGCAAATTAGCTTTACACAATGTGTTGTAAATCACTTTAGTTTTCTAAGTCATGAAACTTACTGGTCTTTTAAGATCCCTGATCCATTGGAAGGAAGGCTTTTTTCTTTTTTTTTTTTTTGGTGGGGTTGGTTTTTATTGGGCTATTTATGCTTTCTTGCCTGGTCCTTCTTGTGGTAGTTCAGTACACTGATGAAAGAGCAGGCTTAGGTTGGGGTTACAGTACATTACTGTGCACACAGCTGGTTTGCATGAAGATCAACTCCATGACCTTGACCTCTGTGACAGCATGTTCTGACCAACTGAGCTGCAGAAACCCAGAACATTTCATCTTCTAAAGAAGATTAAAGCAACATTGACACAGCAACAATAAAGGCTTTTTCAGGAAAATAAACTTTGAACTGAAGTTGGTGACCTATGTCTGCAGCCCCTGCTACTGGGGAGATGGAGGCTGGTGAATTGTTTGAGTTTGGGAGGTCTGAGTTACAGTAGGGCTATAATCAGGTGGGTACCCTCACTAAGTTTGGCATTAATATGGTTCTCCCTCCCCACTATCAGAAAGGGGGTAAAGAAGGACACACACACACACACACACACACACACACACACACACACACACACACACACACACACACAC